TGTTGCTACAAATATACCCCAGAGACTTAAGACTGCTTTTGTGCTGCAGGGTCACATGTGACCGAGGCAAGCCAATGAAAACCATTAGAAGATTGATGTTGTCAATGCAGCTGTTGTTTCTCAACCCAGTGAGAGCTCTCTGGACTTTCACAATGTCACTCGAGTGTGATCGCAAGAGTGTAAAATATTCATTTCACACCCATACAGTTAGTAGGTAACCTTTATTGAAAATATAACCACTGTATATTCCCTGTAATTTGAGTTCCTTGAGTTGGCCTCTTACAGTGACAGTTTTCAGTGTTTTTTAATCCCCTTTTAATTGCTATTTAAGTGTTGACTAGTTGCCTGTCCTACACCCAAATCTGAAAACTTGTATTTTTATGTTGCATACAGTCAACCAAGACAATATGAAATATTGTCGTCTTGTTCAATGACTAGAAAGACAAATTCTCAATGCACTTTCTCAGCTGGTCTGAGTGAATAGCCATAGAAATGTGGATGTTGACCAATATTATGGTTTTATTCCCCACTGTACATACACAGTTGCCACTCTCGACGTCCAGTGTGTCCATTCCTTTGTAATACATCAAATGTTATCATGCAGAAGCTGTCTGAATCTTTTCACGTTTCAAATCCCTTTCTTTTTGAATTGCCCATTATCTTATATTTATCACATATATTAGTGTTTCCTTTTTGAATGGTGTGCTTACTAAGGCTCACACTTAAGAGTTTATTCAGGTATTCAGTATATTAACTTGCGGCTCATTCTGCCATCAGCCATGTTATGTCGTCGGTTATTCAATTATTTTACTTTAAAATATATAAATATTAACGAGCTGGGTAGATTACTTGAAATTGTAGTCCGTTACTGATTCCAAATGACAAAAAAAACTAAAATTTTATTTAGTAACGTAATGCAATCAGACTACTTTTTCATTACTGTTCGAAAAGCTAATAATTAAATCATAAAAGTGTCAAATTAATTCATTTTAAAATACCATCAATCACACTATAAAACTCAAACATTTAAATGTTTAATTAGTTTGAACCTTGCAAATGTGTTAATTATTAATATCTCATGGGTGCTTCAAGTAAATATATTAGGCAAAAGGTTTTTCAGACAAAAAAAAAAAGTTTGGGAATCCCCCACATTAAATGTAAATAAGAAATAACTTGAATTTGACCTCCGAAGTGTTTTCTCAATATTTCAACATTGCATCAACTACTGATGAACACACTCATTTGTTTGAATTATCGCTCCGTGGATTATTTAACCATGTATTATTATGCCTTTGGAAGGCTTTTGAGCACAAATTCAGGTTATTTCACATGCAATGCTGGCATTCCCCAAACCTTTTTATCATCTGAACCTCTTTCACCTAATATATTTACTTTAAGTACCCCTGAGATTTAAAAATAAATATTTTAATTATTCAGTAACACATTTGCATGTTCATGGTTCTCAAACAAATAAAATACTTAATTTTTTAAGTAAGTGTTTTATTTTGATTTATGTTATTTTAATTTTGAATTTTTATTATTTAATTAATGATTTGCTTTTCATTAAACTCATGAACCCCCAGTTTGGGAAACCTTTATAATGTAATACAGTGTTTAATGTAGGCACTTCATGTTGTAAATAACAACGAATGTAACAAATTTTCTTTTTTTTTGCATTTTTATATCGATATGGTACAAAATTGTCCCATTTAAATCAATGTGATAAACAAGTTAGATCAAAAGTAATCTAAAAGTAGTCCGATTACATTACCTAAAATGTAGTGTAACGGATTACGTTACTAACTACTGTTTTCATCGCGTGATCTACCCAGCTCTGCATATAAATACACATGAAAGCAGTAAACTGGAGATGTCCGTGCGTGCGTGCGTGCGTACGTAGCAGCGTCAGTGACGCAAGCGTCCGTGCGCGACTCCACCCAACGGCACAAAACAACTTTGCGAGCGCAGCGCGAGTCATGGTGTCAAAGAGGATCTCCTGAAGAACAAACTGCGCGAACTCTCACCAAAAGCGACTAACAAGCTGTCGACGACCGTCTGGATCTCTTATAAATTACAAAAAGTCCACTTTACGAAGGAATTATGCTTACCGAGTGTCGACTTTAAAGCTAGCAGAGCGCAGCTAGCTCAAGAGTTTGGCGCCGCGAACTTCACGAACAGTGGCTATAGTGTAAATATAGTCGTTTATATAATTTAATACGAAGTAGTGTGAGAAAAGGAACTCTTTAAGGATCTCTCCGAGAGTTATTGGGTGTGTAGTGTGTCTGTGGACGGGTGGAGATGGCTCAGTCGCCGGTAGCTGTTCAAGTTCCTGGAATGCAGGTGAGTTTGTGTGGAAAGGTAACGCCATCCTCATC